TAGAACTAAGGCCTGCTGGTCCACTGTTCGCTGACCTGCCGTTGAGGCGTTCAAGCACTGATGGGGCTTTCTGGGCCCCATATTCTTGTGCTTTCAAAGCAAACTTCCCATGCAATGATATATTTAGATCAATCTCAACTCTAATCAGTACAAAACAAGCGAAGGATAAGTGTATTTGCATCTATAGCTATTTAGGTAAACTGAAGTTAAATAAAATTAAAATCCAGTTCCTTAGTTGCATTAACCACATTTCAAGTAATTCTTAGCTACATGTAGCTGGTGGCTACCACATTGGACTGTGCAGATACAGAACGTTTCCATGATGGCACGGGGTTGGGTCACACTGATGTGGATTATCCCAAGGATCCAAAAAAAAAAAGTGCTGGAGTAATACGATTATTAATAACTACTAGGCAGATTTTCTATCTTTATATGCAATTTTTCGAAGACAATCATTTTGTATACTTTTTAATTTAGTGTGCATTCTGAAGATGACATTTTATGTCTTTTGGCATTAGTATAATTTATAGCCATTTGGCAATTCTTACAGCCATTTTGTAAGTTTGTTCTTTTTATATAAATAAAGGAAATGCAACACACAAAGTTAGCCACAGAACAAGATAAAAAAGAATAGAAATTTTAATTCTTTTGTTTTCATTCTCCCAAAGGAAGCCTGCAAATCACTGGGCCTTATAAAAGTTTGTTGTCCTAAAACTAGTAAAAATAATAGTATGTTGAATCAATTATTATAATTTTTATAATAGTTTACTGCCTAGACGAACCTCAGAAGATTTTGCATATACTCTGTTGATCTAGTTCTTTTTCTTTTAAAATAGGGAAGTAGGTCAGTGCCTGGGCTAAAACTAAAAAGCACTCATTGTTTTTCCAGACGTCATTTCATTTTCATCTTGACTGTGACATGGGTAATACCATTGCCCACTGGCATAGTGCTCGCAGACTTGTGGTCTTACTCCATATGGCATGTATCTTAGAAGAGCCTTCTAGCTGGCTCCTTGCCGAGGGTTCTAGCAGAATTGGCACCAGGGATCTCATTGCCATTTGCAGGCAGGGTGCCAGCAGAGATGTGTGCGCCTGTGTCCAGGGCCTGCGAGTGGTCACCGAGTTGGGAAATGTCAACCTAGAGAAATGTAGCTCGTGGAACATGAGGCCGAGACAGCTGACCTTCACCTCTCAGTGTATCCACATTCCCTAGGCACCTCTTGTGTGACATTGGAAAAGTCAGTATATCTCTGTGACTCTCACTGGGTTCATCTCCAAAATAGATAATGATTCCAATGGGAGCTGTTGAGAGTATTGTGTATCGAGTACTTGGCAAAAATTTCTGGCATAGAGTAGCCCCTCAATAAATATTACTTGAATTTGGATGTAAATTCTTGGACTGTGAGAGGCACTGTACTGGGTATTGAGAATGTGTAGCAAGTGAAGAGGAGCAAGCTAGTCTAGTTTTCTAAGCCCAAGATGAGATCCTTGCAAATAGGACACCTTCTCAAGGGTCTTGCTGAGATCTGGGCTGTCTGTTCCTGTAATTACTTCTCTTTGAAGAGCACATTGGCTCTCCTTGGTTTTGGGCAGGTAACTCCAAAGGTTCAACTGTTGAAGGCAAAATGTCTGGCTTGGTTAGCAGTGTCAGTGCTACAACCCCATGAGGACAAAAGAATTCAGTGAGACTCCTCTAAAAACGAGCATCAGCCAGAGAGAGAGTTGGGAATCCAGAGCAGGATTCGGTTGGGTGGATGAGAAGGGAGTATACCACGCTGCTGCAGCACTGTCAGGATTCAGGGCATGTGATGCGGTAGCACCAGGAGGGCGATCGGTGGGACAGGACCACCTATTTTGCTTTTGATCAGGAAGGTGTTGGGGGGGTGGTATTTTAACTTAAACAGCAAGTGGACATAATTGGATTTTCTTAAGGAAGGGATTGTCCTGCCCTTAGAACTTAATGCAAATCTTTGGAAAAGTTACTTCCAAAAGGGCAGGTAGCATGGCAAGGATGTAGATGCAGATGAGAGTGCTCATGGGTGACTATGTAGGAACAGAGCAGAAAGCAATCTGTGGAGATGGAGAAACACTATGTGACTGAGTAAATGTCGGTTTCAAAGTACCCTAAAGGGGGGATTCAAAAAAATGTAAAGTACATATCACAGTATTTGCTATGTAAGTGATCACTAAAATACACATTATTATTTAGGATAGGAAAGGTGTTGTAGTCTTTACTGTAAAAATTTTGAATTGAAAAGTAGATTTTTGATGGTCACTTATTTCACATGCTTCACAGATGCAAAGAAGGAATTAACAGTAGGAATAGCTGACACTGAAAGAGCCCTTACTTTGTGCCATGTCCTGTATTAAGCACATGAGTCTAAGAGATGGAGTTCGCTATCCCAGTTGTACAGATGAAGAGTCTGAGCCCAGAGCAGCACAGTTAGGAAGTGGTGGTGCCAGAACTCAGAGCCACTGTGCTACAGTGCCTCAAGATGAGAAGTCTCTATGCATGGGGGTGAAGCATGGCTCATGGGGATGAATTATACATGGATACCTTGCCACTTACAGGCCACACGTGTGAGGCATAGGACAGCTCCTCAGCTTTCCTTACTTGACGCATCTTGGTGAGTTTGTATTTTCTGAGAAAGAATAAGTGGCCTCTCATTTGCAGAAGCATGGAGGATAGCTTGCTCTAGAATTCTGAGTTCAGACCCTAGAACTAGTACATTGCCACTCCATTCTCCATTGTGTTACATTAAGCACTCGGCAGATGAGGGCATTGAACTTGTGTTTTCTGTTAGCTGAGACCTGTGGCAAAGCTTCCTCTTTACATTCTAGCTGGGTGTCAACAGCAGTAACCACAAGTCTTTCCTGTCCCAGAAATAAGTCTTGCCACACGCTCAACCCCTGACAGGGTGTGAACAAGACCTGCTATACTGCCAGGGACTCCACCACCTCAGCCCAGCTCAGTCCCAGATTCACAGGGTTAAAGTGTTTATTGAATTCTCAAAGAGCGATTTGAAAAGGATAGGTACATAAGAACAAGATAAACAATCTAGCTCTAATATAAACAAGCATTACATTACAGCAAAATTGTTGAGAGAAGATTTTGTACTCAGTATTTTATTCAGCAGAACATTTATTATAACAATAAGGTTGATTAGCCCAAGCTCCGAAAGTGCTTCAAGTTAGACAGTCTGATTGTTTATCTCAAGGATAAAAAATAAAGTGGTAAAATAGGGGGATACAAAGAAGCAGAAATTGAAACTGGGACCTTTCGAAGAGTATTTGACATCACTTTACTCTTCAGCTTGAATCTCATTCAGGATTTCTCCTTTCCATAGGTTTCTGGCTTTTTAACCATGAGTAAGTATCTTCTTTTTAGGGACTTAGGACCATCCTAGGCCCACAGCGGATTTAAAGTATTCTGATGGTTGGTTTGTCTGATGGTTCATTTTAACCAAATAAGTAGCTCTCTGTAAGATCTTTGTCTACCCTCTTGGTAGCACCAGGAGGCTACAGTGAAATCACGCCTGGCTCTTGCAGTTTAGTTTTAGTTAACGTGTCCCCTTTCTGACCTCTCTGCTTCTTGCGGTGGGCGTACTGTTGGAGGAGGCTCTATAGGGGCAGCGTCTGCCTGCTTTGTTTCAGCGCCTTCTATTTTCACAGGCCGAGAAGCTGGAGCAAGAGTGCAGTGCTGCAAATGAGTGCTGCCGAGAGGCATTCAGCCTTGTCACTTGGCAGAGTAGCTGGGTTCAGGGTATATTTGGAGGTAGGAGGTGGGGGAAGAGGGTGTGTAGTTTTGCTCTACTGTTTATTCCTGCTCAAAGGAGGGTGGGGCAAGTAAGAAAGACGTGTTCATCATCGGATTACTTGATGGTGACTAGAATCGCAGGCTCTATACAGCATTCTCTTCCAAATGGGGATTTTGGAAACAACGTTGAGGGGGACTGATATGCAAAAGCTTATGGTTGTGCTCTCTGTCAGCCCCAAATATTTACTGAAGCTGGGAGAAGAAAAGGCAGACTTTCTTTTTTTCTCTCCCAAACGTGTGATTGTTTAGAACTCAAGTGCAACATCTGGAAGTCAGATACACAGAGAACAATTTATGGAGTGTGAAAGATTTGAAATATTCAGTGTCCTTTAGTGGGAACTCAACTTTCTGGGGCTTCTTTTTTTATTTTTTTTTTAACCCAGCACAAAGCAGGCAATTCTGAGATCTCTTTTGCCTCTCTGAATTAAACCCTTTGTGCCTGGGTCCCATAAACAATGTGCTTTTTAAAGGGGAGCCCCCTCCCAGCTCCGGCCTTTTTCTCCAGCGTGGGCAGCCAATCAGCTGCGCAGAGCTGCATAGCTGGACCGCTTTCCATTCTGAGTAGCAACAACGTACTAATTTGATGCACACATGGATGCCTCGCGCACTCTGCAAATTCATCACCCGCATCTTGCATTAGTCATCTGACGGACTGCCAAGTGTTTCATTTTCTTTCCATGTGACTTTATTATTACCACCTCTCTCCTCTCTTCCAAAAACCACCCAAAAAGGGCGGTGGGGCGGGGGGCGGGGCAGGGAGAGGGAGAGAAATCCAGCAGGCATCTAGCTCTGCCTTTCTTTCCCAGCCACAGCCAGGGTAGGGCTGATAACGCGCTGATGCGTTGATGGCAGCCTTGCAGAGCTAGACCTGCACTTAACTTGCAGCTGCCTCCCGAGCCTCCAAGATGTCCACGCCCTGGGTGACAGGCGGCGGGGCGCTGCCCTGTGCTCCCGCGGCTCTGCTCGACAGCAGCACGCAGTGAGAGCCTCGCCGCCGCCGAGGAACAACTCATGGTGCCTCTGCTTTGTTTTAGTTCATCAAATTTCTACGACTCATTAGGCACTTTGCCCGTGCTCTTCTTCCTCCTCCTTCCGCCTGCCCGCCCCCACACCCCCGCTTTTTTTTTCTTCCTGTCCCTCATCGTGCCGCCCTAACTCTGGCTCCCGGTTCCGTTTTTGACAGTAACGGCACAGCCAACAAGATGAACGGAGCTTTGGATCACTCAGACCAGCCAGACCCAGATGCCATTAAGATGTTTGTCGGACAGATACCCCGGTCGTGGTCGGAAAAGGAGCTGAAAGAACTTTTTGAGCCTTATGGAGCCGTCTACCAGATCAACGTCCTCCGGGACCGGAGTCAGAACCCTCCGCAGAGTAAAGGTACAGAGCGCGGGGCGGGAGTGGCCGGCGTCCAGGTGGGCGTCGCGGGGGCGCTGGGGCTGCCCGAGCCCCCAGCCTGCGGGAGGGAGGGCCGGCAGGCGGGAGGGCTGGAAGCAGCTGGCGCTGGCGGCCCCTGTGCTCCAGGGGCTGCTCCCGGCTCCTCCCCACGCCCCCGCCTGCCTGCTGGCCCTCCGGGACAGGTTGGAGGCGGGAGGGAGGGACGGAGGCAGGGCGGGAGCGCAGAGGCTCGTCCAGGCGCGTGATCGCTCCCGGGAGGTCACTTTCTAGGCAGCATAGCCTCTGCTTGGGCGGGGTGGCTGCCTCTCCGAGGAATCGCGTTTCTGTGCCGTGTATTTCAGGACCTAACTCTTCCCACCCCTACGTTCCCATGATTGTCCATGTAATTACAATTGCATTTCACTTTTCCATAGCCGATGGGGGACCTCGAAGTACCTTTGTAAACAGTTGGTGTGATGCCACTGGTGCGAGGGAGAAAAGGCTCCCTTGAAGGAGGGACACGCATTCCTGGGGGCCAGGTGGGGATCATGAGCTGAATCTGCCTTTTGGAGCTGGGAGCAGCACCCTAGTGGCCTGACATACTTAGCACACCTTCACAGAGGCTTGAAGGTTCCGCCCTTATCAGTGTTGAGATGAAGGTATAGGATCTGATAGTTGTTCCTGCCTCCATTTTAAGATGACGGTGATGGGGGGCAGTGGGAGCAGTTAATGAAATAGAGACCAGGACCCATTGTGAGGACTGATGCTTCTGTGCACTGGAGTCTTTGGAACCTCTCCGCAGACTGAACTTAAAATACCTACTCTTCTGCTACCACTTGATCTCTGTTACTATTTTAACCTTCTTGCTTTAGCAATTTTTGTTTCTTTCCCTGTTGTTGATCTCTCAGTCTCTCTACATAGGTGTCCTCTGTTGTTTTGTGGGTCTCTCAGTTTCTTTTGCTCTGTGCCTTGGTGTTTCTGTCTGGCATCTTATTCTATTTCTGTATTGCTTCTCCTAAGACCCCTGAAAGCATCACTTGGCTTGTATATACACTTCAGTTGGGCACATGAACATTGGCACATACTTTTCTCTAAGCCTTTTCCTTAATGGCAAGGTGAAAGGATAGAACTAGGAAATCTTTAAGACTGACATTCTGTGACTACGAGAAATGTTGGACTGCCTCTTGTTCCCTGTAGTTGCCAAGGTCTGGTAGGGCTTTTGGAAGCCTATTAAGGAATCGAGCCCCTGGCCAGTACTCATTTTAGAAAGGTGAACAGGTGTGTCTTCAGAGTATGTTCATAACACTTCAGTTTTCCAAACAAACCTTAAGCAAGGTTGTTTCAAAAAGGACATAGAATATTGTCACCACAAACTTGATTGCCCCATTGTTTGAAATACAGAAAAATCATTTAACTGAAAATCTGTGGGTTTCTAAACTTTACAAATGAGAGCAGTAGTAAATACCTTTGTTGAACATATTCTGATCCTGGTTACCTACATGTCTTCGAAATGGAGAAGACTAGAGTTTGTTTTAATACTTTCATGGTATGCCATTGAGCAAAATCAATAGACTAGAGCTAAAAAAATTTAATAAATAATCAACAAATAAGGGCTCTCTGAACAGCCACAATGTCACTCAGGGAAAACGAGACCAGAGGCAGTAGACTAGGCTTTAGAGAAATAACCACAATTCATCCTTGACAAGAAAAGTGTGACTCCAAATTTTGGTTTATCAGCTTTTTAAAAAATTACTCTTGACAAAATGATCAGCGCTCACTTATTGTTAGGATGCCTGGTTCTCTGACTTTCAGCCTTGAAGTACATGAATCTTAATTTGGCTGAAAAGGCCCTTTTCCCAGTCAGTTAAGCACCTGAGCATGGCCTAGTTATTCTCCCATTGTGTCTCTTGCCCAGATGTTCCTCTGAGCAGCATTTTTTACCAGACTATCTTAAGACTATACATTTCATTAGCTTGTATTCACTATGTCTTACTGCTAATTTGGTGGAAATCGTTTTCAGAAGCCCATGGTCTGCAGAAGCAGAAGGGAGGCCCAGTGAGGGAAATTTTTTTGAGCACATGCTACGTGTGTCAGACCCTGCGTCAGGAGTTTTACATATGTTCTCCTTTTGTCCTCCCCAAAAACCAGAAGGTAGGTGGTATTACTCAGGTTTTACAGATGAGTAAACTGAGGGTTATAGAAAATTAAGAAACATAGTCCAGTTTGCCCAGCTGGTAAGTGACAGATCGGAGATTTGGACATGGACCATCTCTCTTCGTGGACTGCACCATTCTGCATCTCCATGAGACAAGATTGCAGACCAGCCCTGTTGTGCTATGTTTCAGGGTCTGGGTCACGGGCAGTCTCCTTTACTGAAGTGTTCTCCAAGTGAAAGGAGGAAATTTCATTCTTTAAGAATGAGTTGATTTCATTTCGGTCTCTGTGTTTAGTTTTTATACTCAGGTTTAGATTGTACATGAGTCCCACCTCATGATATCATGGAGTAGGAGTTAGAGATGAAATCATTCAAATCTTACCTTTGGAAATACAGGTCAATTCCCATTACTGTGAACTTGAAGTCTCACATCAAATATTGCTTAAAGTACGTGGGCTGTCAGCCAAAGCTTGAAAGAGCTTTTGTTATACAGACATCTCTGTTGTGAAGGTATTTGTTGTGATGGGATTTGAACTGTATAATGACATTGCTCTCGGAGGATTACAGCCCTTAGCCGCTTACCTAGAGAAAGCCACAGCCCCCACTTTCTTCATGTTGATACCTATGCATCCCATTATTATTTTGCCTGTGTACACTTAAAATAAGACCTCTTTGATTCAGACTTTGTCAGCAGAGTACAATTATCATATTTTCACAGGGCTGATGTCAGAGCCTCACAAACTAGAATTACTGGAGGTGGTTTAGGTTATGTGAGTAAGGCTTTTTGGAGGGGCTTGATTCATTGCCTTACCCATGTTGATGGTCCCAAGCAAAGAAACCGTCAGGCTATTACCTAATCCTGGTGAATTAGATTTTCTCCTCACTTTCCATTTTATGTTCTGTTTAGTCTTGAGGCACAAAAACTTGGTAATACTTGTGAAATCATCTTTTCAGGGTTCGAGTCTGAGCTGCCTATCTTCTCCCTATAAGGGCATGTATTGACCAAGCAGGCTGAGGAAACTGGGGAGTCTGGCTCAGTAAACACGCTCCCCCATGAGGACTTTGGAAGAGGGTGTTTTATTCAGGGGTCATCTGTTTCGTTTGTAGATGGTGAGCAATACCATAGAGAATTGAGAGCATGGCTTTTGAAGTTGGAGAACCCTAAATTTAATTTCTGGCTCTACTGCTTCCTTAGTACGGGCCTTGGGCATGTTGCTTAATCACATCTGAAAGTAGTGGCAGTGCTTGTAGTGTTTCTGTGTGATGAGATTATGTGCTTTCCACAGAGCTGGAATACAGTAGGAGCTGGTTATGGCAATCGTGATGATCATACTTGCTGTTGTTACCTTCATCAGTGTCTCCAAGAACATAACTCTGATAGGAGCGAGAAAACAAGTTCACAGGCAACTCTCACACAAAAGAACATGAGCTAAGAGTAAACGAGTAAGAAAGAGATGAGCTTACTGGAACCATGGAAGTTGAGAAAAGAAATGAATAATTCACAGCTTATGGGAGATGAAAAAGATGGCATCTTTACCAAGTCTTGAAAACAATAACAGGATTTCAGTAAGTAATAATAATGAACATTACAAATGGTTGGAATGGCCTACTTCAGGCATGCAGGTGAGGAAGTGCAGGGCAAGTTCTGAGAACTGAATTCTTCCACAGTTCAGGGGAAAGGTGAAATACATGACATTAAATAGAGGAAGGGAAGATCACAAAGCCTAGAGCTAGAGGCTAGAGCAGCTCTTAGCAGGCTTTCGTTCTCAGGCTGAAGTATTTAAAATGCCTTTGTTAGACTCTCAAGACTCTAGGAATAGAGTGTTTTAGCAGCAAGAGGCTTAGAGGCTGGTGCAGTGTGTTGACTTGTGTTGAGGTCAGGATGTTGTCTGTTGTGGGAATGGAAGGGGAGGCTGAGGGACAGGCATGACAGAGGAAGGAAGAGGACTTGATAACTAATTTGTGGCAGTGATGACCAGGAGTTTTTGACTTAACTGGGAGAATTGGGAGCGCAGTCAGCCATGGTGGGAATGGAGAAGAGGAGTATTAAGTTCAGTTTTGATTGAGTTGAGTCTGAAGTGTCACAGAAGAGTTAAGGATGCAGGCCAAGAAAAGTCATTGGATTTGGTGACTGGGAAGACCCAAGAGCACTTCAGAAGAAGCATGGGGTTGTCGGCAAAGGAAATGCATGGATATATGTGTGAGGCTGTCAGTGTAGACTCGCCTTCCTCGTAGTCTGGCATGAAGGGAGCAGAAACTTAGGCATGCAGTTTGTTCAACAAATTATCAGTTGTATGGCAAAGAAGATGTGAAAGTGTGAGGCAGACATGACACTATCTCAGGCCTGTGAAAGGGTGGAAAGATACTTCATTTGAGACAGGGGGCATTCAGGAGGAAGTAACAACACAAAGTTTCAGAAGCAGGAGACAGTTCATACAGGCTCTTGCCCCCAGTCTTCTCAGTAAATAGGAAATTTCTGAGAAGTCTTAGTGAATTGAAGACTTGAATGGAAAAGGTTTAAAATGACTCCTTTGGGAAATTTAATGGAGAGAGTAGAACTGTTGAAGAGCAAGGAGCAGTCAGTCGTACTTAGATCATGTTCATCTGGAGTGGACCCTGATGTTTGTGGTTCTAGGACTGTCTGTCACTGGGTAAGCAGAGAAAAAGACTTATAGGGAACCCAAAGTTGTAGGTAATCAAGGCAGACATTGTAAAATATCAGGAAGGGTAGTAGCTGTGTTAGAATTTTCTCTTGGAGGTCTAAAGTAGGGACAGCCGGTAATGCTGAAAGACAGCTCCTGGTCTGGGAGGTGGAGGAGGAGTTGAAGGGTTGGCAGTTGAGGTTCAG